GCAGGAATGGCATCCTAACCCATTGCCCTTCTGGTAGGGAAACCCTTTGCTCCCAGCAGTTCACGTCCCGCTGGGTCTCTGGATGCCTGCAGCCTGTGTGTGTGGGCAGGTGGGTTCAAGAGGGAGTTATCTTCAATAGCAGGAAATGGTTTCTTTGTCAGATGAATTAAATCCAAACACATCTTAAACCTTCCCTTGACCCAGGCACTCCCTCTGACTCCTGCCCCCTGTCTAACCTTCCTTTTCAGAGCAGAGCGCTGGAGCTGGTAGCGTGCTTGGGTCACCCCTCAGGCTGTGCTACCGCTGACTGCTTCCAGTGAGGGCTTTGCTCTCTTTTCTTTATTTCACCATTCCACCTTTCCACTGAGGAGGGCGAGAGCCTTTCCTCACTTCTTTCCCTTCCCACAGAGCAACACTGGATAGTGAGAACCCTCCCGATCCACGCTGTAGGGATGCTTTGGGATCAATCTGTTGTGTCTGTGTGTCTGGTGAGGACAACATCTCCTCACCAAGGTGGATGGGCCTGGTCTGTGGGGTTTTGGTAAGCTGATGGTTGTCCTTGGGCTGAAGGATTGAACCTACTCGTGTTTTTTTAAAACACAGATCTAGCAGGAAGGAGCATCCTCAAGATGTAGAGAGTTACAGGTGTGGAAGTGTCTGCTGGGGACAACAGGCAGCCTGGGGTGATAGCTCAGAGGTGTGAGCTCATCTGAATGAAGCAGCGACTGCGAAAATCCTTATCACATGAAAACCAGCGCTGTTTACCCGTGCTTGCACGCTGGAAGGGAAGCGGGCCAGTCATATGATGAATACCCAAACAACTTCCTGCAAGTATCATCGCATTTGAGATCTTGAGATATTTTTTTCTGATCTGATCCCAGCTTCTTCAGATCTGGGGGATCTGCTGCTGGAGGTTCACTCCCTTGCCATCAGCTCTTGTTATCCTGGCTTTCTAAGGAAGTCGTTTTACACAATCGCACTGTATGGCAGCTCTTTCATAGCAGCTCTGGGAATCGCTGGCAGCTCCCAGCCACATTTCACAGAGCAACAGAGATCTCAAAGATAAACCTTGCTAAGAGTTTTGTGAAAATAGGTGCCAGGGTAGAGAAAAGAGAGACGTAATGAGTGCTGCTTCCCCCGCCTCAGGCAAACCCAGCTCCACCATCGCTGTGCTGAGGCACCAGTTGAGCTTCCCTAGGGACAGGCAGTGGCCCAGCAGCTCCACGCCAGCCCTCACTGCCTCTTGCTCAGGCAAACACTGTGCTGTGACACAGAGCTCTGAGCGCTCACACATCGCTGTGCTGCCTTCTGTACCACCCCAGTTTCTTTGGCTGCCATCTCTGTCCTACCAAGATGCATCACACACTGCACCTCTGCTGCAAGTGACTGTACAGCCTGTGTCTGTGCATTGCTGCCGGACTCTGCTCTGCCCTGCTCAGACCCCATCTGCAATCTTGTGTCCAGCTCTGGGCCCTCAGGTCAAGAAGGACAGGAACTGCTTGAAAGAGTCCAGCAGAGCCACAAAGATGCTGGAGGGAGTGGAGCATCTCGTGCTGAGGAGCAGCTGAGGGAGCTGGGGCTCTGGAGCTTGGAGCAGAGGAGACTGAGGGGTGCCCTCATTCCTGGGGATCCATTGGGAAAGGGCAGTGTCAGGAGGAAGGAGCCAGGCTCTGCTCTGGGATGGCCAATGGCAGGACAAGGGGCAATGGTCCCAAGCTGGAGCACAGGAGGTTCAAGCTGAAGATGAGGAGAAACTTTGTGAGTGTGAGGGTTCTGGAGCATGGCCCAGGCTGCCCAGAGAGGTTGTGGAGTGTCCTTGTGTGGAGACACCCAAAGCCCTGGCCGTGTTCCTGTGTGACTGCTCTGGTGATCCTGCTGTGGCAGGGGTTGCACTGGATCAGCTTTGCAGGGCCCTTCCAGCTCCTCACATCCTGGGATCCTGTGAATCCCTGTCCCTGCTGCCATCGCCTGTTCTGTGGTGTGTGACCTTGGAGATGCTGGATGCCTCAGGCTGCTCTTTCACCCAGCAGAAGAACGATGGAGACACATCCCATCCTCCTGCAACGCTGACTCCCCTTTCTTCTCAGGAGCCAGTTCAGAATTGCTCTCCATGGGTTTGTTCTTGGCTTCCTCATGGGCTGTGTCTCTCTGTAACCATCTCCGTGTTGTCTGCTCATCTCACACTTGCCTTCTCTCTGTCGAGAGCCTTTTCTTCTGCAGCTTTGCACCCCCTGGAACAGCCACTTGATCAACTTTGGTTTCTTTCTCCTTAAACATCTGAAATACTTTTTCGTTGCCTGTACCTTAGCATGGTACCTTACTGAGTGGGCTGAACGTACTCTTCTTTTTATGGCAGATGGCTAGTTTATACTCTAGATTATTTGCTTTCCCCTCTCGCATTAGGGAATGGTGCAAAGCACACTGAGCTGCATCTGAAATGGCAGATGGTGGATGTTGTAGTAGTGAGGATGTCACTGCGTTCAGCTGGAGCCAGCCTGCTCTTGCTGCTGATCCACAGGTGGGAAGCTGTGCTGAGAGGAGACTTGCAGTGCGCTGCAGTGAAGTGTACCTGTCTCCTTGATGGGAGGAGAAGGTGATAAGTCACACGTATTTTCCTGTAAGTTCCAATGTGTGTGGCAGATGCATACAATGGAAACCAAAGCCACCTTTGAGCTGTTTATGTCACCAGTGCATAGCACTGTCACGTTAACTTGTGACGTGGTTTTTTCCATCCAGGTCCCTAAGCTATTGCTTAATCTGGGTCTGGAGGAGCCACTGGTCCATGGGTCTGCACAGATCACCGACAGAGGCATGGTAAGTTTGCCCTTTCCCCATCTCTTCAGTACAGTCTGCATGCCCTTTGCTTCAAGAGCTGCTTCCCAAAACGCAGTCTGACTGCTGGAAGCGAAGCTGAGTTCTGAAGTACAGGATTACATGAATGGTACAGCCCAGGGTGTCCTTGTAGACTCACTCATGAGCTCCTGCCTCTCAGTCTCTGTCTTTGAAAACATTTGGTAAAAACTCTGTCCTACCCCCAAGTCAGACACTGCAGACTCGTGTTCCCTTATGGCATTTCATGATGGGTGAGCAGTTTGCCTCCAAAGGGCACCAAACTCAGAGGGTGTCAGCATTTACCTCGGCTTACTGTTAAAGCATTTGGTTGAATACCAGCTTCAGGCCCCCTTTTCACAGGTCTCACTGGGCAAACTTCAATGAGTCCCAGCAGGACTGTTCTCACTGTGCTTCCCTTCCTGTGCAAGACCTCCAGAGGCAGCCCAGCTAACGGGGTTTGACCAGGCTGATGGACCCTGGGAAGACTGAGCAGCTCTGCTCAGGGGATGAGCCCCAGATTTTTGACTCTACCTAAGGGTAGAGCAGGGCACACTTTGTTGGGTGATTGAGACATGCTGTTGGGAAGCACGTATAGAAAACATGTATAGAAGACACATATCAAAGAGCTCTAGGTAGTTTTGCCCATTTCTCTTCCTTTCTGCACTAGGTTGGATCAGACAGTATCATTGGGCCATCCACGCACGTGGGGGAGAAGACATCCATCAAACGCTCCATCGTCGGCAGCATGTGTACCATCAGAGACAAAGTGAAGATAACAAACTGCATCATCATGAATTCTGTTACCATCGAGGAAGGGTACGTCACCCGTTTGTATCATCTTCATCCCCTACATTTGCAGTTTCTTTTTCTAGACAGATTCTGAGCCCATCATTTTTGCCCTGTAAGCAATCCTCAGCCAGAGCAGTTGATAGCAGGGGGGCTGTTTCTAAAGTCAGAAATAAGTCTCTACTAACAGGCTACAAATGCGCAAGTGAAATGAACCGAGGAGAGGGCAGCAGTCTTAGAACATCAATTTATTCTTTCTAGAGGAAATTATACCATCTGCAGAATGTGTAAGGTAAGTAAATGTATGAGTCTGTGTGAGCTTGTGTCTCGTCCTTCCAAGCTTTATTTTAGTGGCATACCTGAAATATTTGAGGCACGAAGCATATTTTGAAGTGGTGTGCTCACCAACTCGAAATGTTATCACCTTTGGACATTGCAGCTTCACCTAAAATGCCATTTTCTTTGGCCTTTTTTTCTCATCTTTACTTTACCGTTGTGTATGCCGAGTAACAGAATAAATGAACAAACTTTTCAAAGATAAAGTCTGCCAGCCAGCAGAGGTTTCCCATGCATTAAAGGCACTAAGTAAATAGGTAGCCTTGAGCTGTTCACTTCCAAATGTGGGAAAAGTGGCCTATCCGTAATTGTCGGTGTCTGCATGCCCCCATCTTTCCATACACGCTGGCTTCCTGTGGATGTCAGTGGGAAGGAAACTGCTGAGTGAGTCTGTGCAGGCCTGTATAAACTCCCTGCTCCTTCATGGCTTGAGGTTTGCCTCAGGAAAAAGGCCAAACTCTTCAAAAATGCCAAGTTGGCTCTGAAAGTTGCATATCTGAAACACAAAAAACCCCAAAGGATGTGGGGCCTGCGGAGGATACTGCTGTTACCTCACCAAATTACAGGTAAGTGTGGTACCTCACTGCCAAGTGTTTGTCTTTAATGGAAATCCACAGTCGTTTCAAGCACGTCATAAATCAGGACTCTGTTGAGTATAGAAAATAGCAGGTTTCCAGTGCAGTCACAAATGGATCCAGTATGGCTGTAGCACAAGCGCTGCTGTCACGAGAAGGACCAGAACCTCTCTCATTTGATCATGAGATCGTTCTGGTTAATGACTTGATGCCGCGGTCAGAGTGGTGTGGCTTTGCATCTGAGGTGAGCGGCTCTGCCATTCAGTCACAGAGCCAGCAAAGTGTATCAGTGGTGCTGTTTGTATGAACAGTCCCAGGTCAGCTTGTGTTTGTCTATAGTATAGTAATACTTCCTTCTAAATCCTAAATCAAGCTCAGAGTCATCACCTTAAGCATTGCACACAATTCCTTAAGCATCGTAGTGATAGGTTATTTTTAAAGAGGGAAAAACTAACTTTTGGGGTAACGCTTTTGTGAATGTCTGCAAAACAAAGTCACCCCTGGTCACTCTCAGCAAATCCAGTGCATTCACCATTGACTGGAAATCCTCACGGTCCCAGAGGTTTGCTTACCCCTTCAGCTGCTCTGTGCTCACACTGATGCCAGTCAAACCTGTAACTGTTCCTCTCCAGCCAGAATTAAGATTACAGACCATGGAGCTTTATTTCAAAGCATATTGTAATACATATTGCGTAGATCTGCAGAGATGCTGAGCTGATAAAGCATTTCTTACTGCTTTATGATAAACTGTAATATGAGAGTGGTATGGAGTGCACAGGTTAGCACGATACAGGGATATTCTTGCTGCAGAGTTGTGTTGAAAGAAGTCTTGCTTGTAACTTGGTGAAGGATTTCTGTGTATCTTGACCCTCTTTCCTGACTTTGATTAAATCTGATCGGTTTTTGTTAAAATGCTCATGATTCTCACACGTGTTGATGGATCCATTAGCAACAAGTGAATAAATTATATGTGGCTTTGCTTTAACCTGCCCACAGTGGACAGCTTCTCTTGACAAACTTCTCTTCTCCCAAGTGTCTAAAATAACTCTGATCACTGGCTTCAGGAAACATCTTGGACTTTAATCAGCAGGTCAGTATATGGTAGCTGATACAGATCAAAAGTAGCACAGGAAAGTGCCTTAACAGATCTAATCCATTTTCATTGCATAGCAAATGTCCAAAGAGGAAGCCAATTTCAACCCCATCTAAGGTACTGTGTGTTAGAAACTAATGGAATAACACTGAGAAGTGGATAACAGCTGTGTCATTTAAAGAATACACGTTTTGATGCTGACATGCTCCACCAAACTAATGGGCTATGCTGTATGAATGCCCTCAGATGTGATGGCGACCGAAGGCTGGTCCTGGCTGGATTCACTGCAGTGACACCAACTGCAGCAGTGAGCTGAGAAGGCTGCAGCAGGGCACACCTTGTGGAAGAGATGAAGCTGTTGAGGTAACCCAGAGAAGAAAGAAAGGTTGGGGAAATCATGGTTCATTCAGATCACAATGTCAGTACAGGAGGGGAAAAGAAACAACAGAAAGACATGACCAAGTTTTCTCTCTTGATGGTTTTCCTGTGACGTGAACCGAGGATCCTTCAAGCTCCACAAATTACGTCTCCAAAGCAGAAAAAGGTTTTGGACAGCACATTTGATACCAGCTTGTGAAATGGATGAACAGGTCCTTTCTGGGACACCACGAGGTGCTCAGAACACAACGAGGTTCCTCTCATTAGGCTGTGCATGGCTCCTTATTGGAGAAACAGAGGTGCTGACCCAGATGATGACGATGGCCTTCCCCAGTGGATGGATCAGGGAGCTGGGGTTCACTTGGGCAGCACCGTTGCACGCTGTTTGCAGATGATGATCCACTCCTCAGCAATGCCCGCTGCATTTGAGACTCTGGATGCCAGGAGCAGGGGTTTTCCTGTTTTCCCCGGTGTGTAGGACTTCTGTTGTGTTATCCACGTCTCCTGTGAAGTGATTTAAGCAGATATGAATCCCCCGCTTAGAAGAGATTACGGGGGATTAAAGAAGTTACCAACACGGACAAAATAATTGGTAGTCCTTTCTTAATGTGTTTCCCACTGTGCAGCTAATTCTTCCATCAATGAGACAATAAAATGGCGAAGATTACATGTGTGCTGAGCGATGGCCATACGTGACCAGGCTGGGAGGGATGTAATTCGTACAGCAGCGCGAGTGCTGAGTGATGCTGCGTGCCCAGGGGAAGCGGCTCCGGTTTCCCTGCGGAGCTCGGTGACAAATGACCGCACTGACTTACATAGCTGGGGAGAACCTCCTAATGGAGCTGAGAGCATGGGTCAGTGTGTCTGTCTGAGCGCTGCTGCGTGTCCTCAGGCTCTGCAGAGTCCCTCAGGGGTCCCTGGGTTCCTGTGTCTTTGGGGCAGGAGTCCCCTTGTTACAGCTCACTTGCTATAAGGGTCTGTAATGCTGACTGGAGTGGTTATGGAGGGAGATTGTGCCACCCGCAAATGAAAACTGATGTCTCTGAGGCTTTATCTCCACCCTGGCATCTTCCTAGAACAGAAATCATCACTGCTGGGGCATGCAGGCAATCTCACAACTCATTACACTGACCTGAGCGTGATAGCTGTGTTTCATTTGGTGCACTCAGGCACACTTGCCTTCCTTGAAACGAGACCTAGAATTCAGATTCAGGTCCCTGTTTCAGCCTTTGTGTTGGCAGTAAGTGGTTGCTTCGTTGTTTCTGATTTTTTGGGTTGGTTTTTTTTGTCAAACATCGCCTTTATTTTTCCCAGCCTTGTAGTTCTACTTAGTTTGTTAACTTTTGGCAGCAGGAACTGTCTAATTGCTCTGCTCATACAGGATCTCATGCCGGAGTGCTCTGAGCATTATAAATAATATTAACAGGAAAAGCATGTTGAATCCTTTATTCCATCCCCGCAGATCAAGATTTCGAAACGTCTTGTTTGTTAGTCAAACCATCTCAGTGTATACACTCGCTGGAGGAGCTTGGCCATTTTGACATGTGCGCATTAAATCCTTCTTCCTTGGTGGTGGAAAATGAACGTTTCCCTGGGAAAGACTCAAGAGATGGGGCTGTAGTAGGAAAAAAACTCCCTGATCTTTGGACTACTTAGAGGTTAGCATGAGAAGCTCGCGTAAATATTGAGTCCAAGTAAGCCCTGTGTTGAAATGGTCTTGCTGACACGCTGGGAGTCAGCACCATATGGGCTCTGCGGCAAATTTAGGTTCTGAACTGAAGTATTTTTTCAAGGAAATGCAGGAAAGCAATATGCTTCAAATGGCATTTTAATGGAAATCATGAATAGGCTGCTGGGATTATCAGAGGGGGTGACAGCAAGATGCAGATGGGTGAAGGTTTGCATCGAGATTTCACCTCCGCAGCTGGGAAGCACCAGATCTGCACAGAGGAGCTGGGGGAGATCAACCTGTCACACCTACAGTTTTATCAGAAAAACTGCTCGTTGGGGATGGTTGGTTTGGGGCAGTGGAAAAGATGAATGTGTCTGGTCATCTGCCTGGCACAGGACAGAGGATTTTAGGCAGTACCTGCTGGGCTGAACTCAGCAGCCGTTAACTTTAAAAGATGGCAATCTTTGAAAGTCATGAACAACTTGAGGTCTGTTGACCACAGTGGGTTTGTTTTAGTCTCCCTAACTATTTCCATTTTCAATGTACAGACACACACCTCCGGTCCTGGGTGTTTTACAGTCCAAGGTGCTTCATGTGCACAGGGTCTTGCCAGCGCAGGGGTCATCTGTGGGATGCAGAATCGCAAGCTTTGAAGGGCAGGTACCACCTTCCTTTGGTATTGCCCTTGCTGGCCTTTCACAGTTCACACTGCCCAGAGAGACTGGTGAAGTTCTCCATATGACACACACTGCGAATTTTACCTCTGGGAGAGGAAAGGGGTTAAAAGGACAAGCAGATGCATTTTGGGTCAGGCAGTAAACTGCAGATGTAGCATCAGGAACCTGGAATGCAAGGGAGGTGATGCTGAGCACTGCGGGTGACGAAAGCTGCAGGGAGGTGATGTGAATCTTGAGGGCAGATGAGTTCACAGGGAGATGTGGTCAACCCTGGGGTGCTCAAATCCCTGAGCAGAAAG